CCTGGCGGACAGGGCAGCGATAGCACTTGTCCACCTGATCCCCGTAAAACATCTCATTCTGGTTGGACGAGCTGCTCCAGGCCTCAAAGAGCGTCAAGTTGGCAGCTGTGGGGCGCACCAGGTAGAAGATCTTTTCTCCCTGCGGAGAGGCGTGGTGGTGAGAACGGGATGTGCAAAACGCCACAGGCACACCCTGCTCTCCTGACAGAGAGGATTAGACTTAAAGCTACAGGACTCTTGTATCAATCTTGGCTAATCTGTGAGCACAACAAATAAATAGCCCAGGACACAGTATCTTATTCCAAGACACAGAAAGGCTGGACAACAGATCCAGTTACCATGTCAGATTACACTGGGAAGCCAATGAAATTTATAAACATAAACACAATTTCAACAGGAAAGAAGAGAGTTTAAAAATAAATAGGGCATGGTTTCCTGTCCTGAAAAACACAAAAGGCTGTATATCTGACAATAGCACTACATATAAGATTAGAATTCCAACAGCCCATCCATATGCAAAAAGAACCTCCTCGGGAAAGCTCCTCTATTAGCATGTCACAGCCTGGGGAACTCCGACAAGATAATGACTCAGCCCTACCCCCACCTTCCTGAGTAGATATAAATTACCTGCCTACCATTTTTCTTCTCACATCGACACAGAGAGTACTCCGTCTTTCTGTGGTATACCTCTGAGGATGCCAGTCACAGCTGCTGGCGAAACGCCAGGCACTACAATGCCAAGACCACGGCCATACAGCCTGGAAAACCTACAACAACTAAATAAAGTCAAGTTGTTTAAAGCTTCTCCGAAAGAGGTGGCCCCGTTTCCTTGGCCTGGCCTACACTCAGGGCTATTTTTGGGCAGGAACACACAGGAACAGAGTTCCGGCTGGCTCCCAAGTTGGCCACACCCAGCAGGAACTCATTAGCATAATAGGCCACACCCGACATCAGAAACTCATTAGGATTGGCTACATTAGGGGTGTGTGGCCTAACATGCAAAGGAGTTCCTGCTACAAAAAAAGGCCCTGGGTTTTGACAACAAACAAGGTAAACAGAATAAGAAGCAAAAGGTGGGTGTGGCTGGATGACCACACTTCTGGTAACATGGGGGTGTGGCCTAATATGCCAATGAGTTGCGCTGTCAGAGTTGTGGCCTAATACGCTAATGAGTTCCTGCTGTTGGGTGTGGCCTATTATGCTAATGAGTTCCTGCTGGGCTTTTTCTACAAAAAGAGCCCTGCCTACGTTTATCCTGAGATAGATTCGGCGGGTAGCCACGTCTGCAGTAGGGTGGTGGAAAGTGCTGCCCAGTCGCAGCTGACTCTGGCAGCCCCGGAGGAGACGTTCAGAGGCAATTTGCCACTGCTCTCCTGTGTCGTGGCGACCCTGGGATTCCTTGGTGGTCTCCCGTCCAAGAGCTAACCAGGGCTGACCCTGTTCGGCTTCCTATATCTGATGAAACCCGGCTAGGCTGAGCCATCCGGCCCAGGGAGCCTTCCGCTTCGTAAAAAGCCGAGATCCTCCGCAAGGCGACTTCTGCACTCGGCAACGCATCGGGCTTCCCCCCAAATGCATTGCCGTGCGCGCATACAGCCCTGCCAGCCGTCCAGCTGTTTAATCTGGTGGGATCTTATCCAAACAGAAAGGGGATCAACCACCACACCTGGACTTTTTTTTTTTTTGAGATGCCAATGTTGGATCAGGCCAAAGGCCCATCCCGTCCAACACTCTGTGTCACACCGTGGCCAGAAATACCAGGTGCCGTCAGGAGGTCCACCAGTGGGGCCAGAACTCCAGAAGCCCTCCCACTGTTGCCCCCCCCCAAGCACCAAGAAGACAGAGCATCGCTTGCCCCAGAGCCCCTATCTATACCTTGTGGCTAAGAGCCACTGATGGACCTCTGCTCCATATGCTTATCTAATTCCCTTTTGAAGCCGTCCATGCTTGTAGCCGCCACCACTTCCTGTGGCAGTGAATTCCAAGTGAATTCCAAGACTCTTCCTCTGCTGACCTCTCAAAGCCCAGAGGCCTACCTAGGAGGCCCCCTTTATCCCCTACTTCAGCCTCCGCTGCCGCAGGAAGGGGTGGTGGCCAATGTTCCCACTTAAGCTGTGCGGTCTTGTGAGCAAAAACTCTACTTTGTGAGCGGCTGGCATTAAAGTTGTGTGTGAGCCATCGGGATCCTGCATAAATTAGTTTGCTCTGGAGCCATCCCTTCCTGAGCGAAGACAAAAATGTGTGAGCTGGAGGCTAAAAAACTGTGAGCTAGCTCACACTGACTCAGCTTGGAGGGAACACTGGTGGTGGGCCAAAGTTCCCTCTAAGCTGAGTTGGTGTGAGCTAGCTCACAGTTTTTTAGCCTCTGGCTCACACATTTTTGCCTTCGCACAGGAAGCAAAGTAACGTATGCAGCAGCCAAACTGCTGGCTCACAACTTTAATGCCAGTAGCTCACGAAGTAGAATTTTTACTCACAAGACTCCACAGTTTAGAGGGAGCATTGGTGGTGGCTACAAGGACAGACAGCTTCAAGAGGGGATTGGATGAACATCTGGAGCAGAGGTCCAATCGGTGGCTATTACCCACAAGGTACAGAGGGAACACTCTGTCTAGGGCAGAGATGCTCTGTTTTCTTAGTGCTTGGGGGGCCAACAGTGGGAGGACTTTTAGTGTCCTGGCCCCACTGCTGGACCTCCTCAGGGCACCTGGTATTTTTGGCCACTGTGTGACATAGAGTGCTGGACTGGATGGGCCACTGGTCTGATCCAACATGGCTTCTCTGGTGTTCTTAAAGTCACTGGTGGACCTCCGGATGGCACCTGGGTTTTGGCCACTGTGTGACACAGAAGTATTGGACCGGATGGGCCACTGGCCTGATCCAACATGGCTTCTCTGATGTTCTTATGTCTGGGGCAGTGATGCTCTGTCTTCTTGGTGCTTGGGGGGGGGGCAACAGTGGGAGGGCTTCTGGAGTTCTGGCCCCGCTGGTGGACCTCCTGAAGGCACCTGGGTTTTGATGACTGTGTGACACAGTGTTGGACTGGATGAGCCATCGGCCTGATCAGACATGGCTCCTCTTGCATTATGCATGAACTCTGAGCTGTCGGACAGCCGGCAGCTCCAGGACAAGGGACGGGCCCAGATCAGGCGGTTCCCACCCAAACCAAGAGCTGGCCCCTTTTGGCCAGATCCCTTCTCGTCCGGGCAGAAACCAGGGAGGACTGCCTGTCGCTACACTGGTGCCACTTAGCCGACCGACTGGGCTGGTTCCTTCCAAAACAGAAAATGGAAACGCGCTCGCACGGAGCTCATCTGAGTGTATCTGCTGCCAGGCCCCCCGCCCCCCCACCTGCTGTTTCTCTTCCACCAGTTGGCCTTAACTCTCTTCCAGCCTTCTCTCAGATATGCTACTTTCATACAGGAGAGGATTAAAAAAAAATAAATAAATAGGGAGCATTCAAGCGTTGACTGCCTCCCCCAGGAATCCAAAGAGCTACAGTACAGCATCAGATAGATCAGAGGTCCCCGACACGGTGCCCGTGGGCACCACAAGTGGACGCCAAAACCTTTCCCGAGCCCAAGTGTTTTTAGAAGTGGGTGGAGCGACTCAAGGCTCTTGCCTAAAAAGTTTTCTGATTGGCCCCTGCGAGACCTCTTTGGAGGCGCAGATTAAAACAATGTTGGTTCGGGGGCAGCGGCTGCCACCGGTGTTCATTTTATTACCTCCCGGTCCTCCTTTCCAGTGTATTTCTTAAAATCACCCCTCTTCTCCCCTGCACTTGGGCTTTCCCTGTGTGTGCGGCTCCACCTTCTGCCGCAACCGTTTCGTAGCTGGCTCCGCCTCCCGCGGCAGCCATTTTGTAGTGGTGCCCACCGGCCCGTGTCAGAATTCCAAAGGAACCTGCCAGGCTCAAAAAGGTTGGGGACCGCTGAGACAGATGATGCAGAACTGCTGGCTGTGAGGTTCAGCTCTAAGGCATTAGCTGCCACCAGTGTTCCCTCTAAGCTGAGTGGGTGTGAGCCGGCTCACACTTTTTTAGCCTCCGGCTCACACATTTGTGTCTTAGCTCAGGAAGGGATGGCTCCAGAGCAAACTGATTTATGCAGCAGCCAAATGGCTCGCTCACAACTTTAATGCCAGCAGCTCACAAAGCAGAATTCTGGCTCACAAGACTCCACGGATTAGAGGGAGCACTGGCTGTCAGCCGCTGTGTCTCTTCTCCCCCTGCCGCCGTGTTCTTACCCGCAGCACATGGTACCAGACCGAGGTGCCCCCGAAGTCGATGTGGAAGTCTGTGTAGCTGTCCCGCACCCCCATAAGGCAGTACTTCTGGACGTTGGGGCGCTCAAACACCGACTCTCCCGGCCACAGATTCTCCACCCAGGAGAGCTTGCGCACGATCTTGGGGGTCTCCACCAAGTTAGAGAGCCTGGAGGAGAGAGAAATTGACTTTCCAAAGCTGGGGCGGTTCACGCTTGGGGGCAGCCAACACGGGCCAGTGCACAGGCCTGGACCTAAACGCGGAGGAGGGGAGAAAATCCCAACCCAGAACGAACCAGGGAACCGAAAAAAAATCAGAAAAAAGAAAAGGAAAAAAAATTCTACGTAGAGTTACTGCCATCAGTTACCCAAAAAAAAAGAGAGAGAGAGAGCTAAAATCATAATCCCAAAGCTGTAATCAGATTAAAGATATTAAAATCCATGCCTCGCCAAACAACAGTCTTTGGTTACATATATATGTACCTTCCTCTAGCATAGAAAACCTCTTCAGTAAAATCACACTTGTATATAAGGGGATGTTACACAGTTACAAGCAAGTATGTTTAGCCTTGGAGAGGGGACGACTGAGAGGGGATATAATAAAGAAGAGAAGAAGAAGAGATTGGATTTATACCCCGCCCTAAGACCGGCTTACAAACTCCTTTCCCTCCCCCTCCCCACAACAGATACCCTGTGGGGTAGGTGGGGCCGAGAGAGCTCTTGACAGAAACTGCTCTTTTAAAAGTACAGCTCTTATCAGAACTACGGCTTGCCCAAGGTCATCCAGCAGCTGCAAGTGGAGGAGTGGGGAATCAAACCCGGTTCTCCCAGGTTAGAGTCCGCGCACTTAACCACGACACCAAACTGGCTCTCCATCTTGAGTCCAGTTAGCACCTTAAAGAATAACAAGATGTGTGGCAGGGGAGGAGCTTTCGTGAGTCACTGCTCACGTCTTCAGATACCTAAACAGCCATTGACTAACCAACCATCGAGAGACCTGAGTTTGAACGATCTGGTACGAGAATATTCCCCCCCCCCATTTAATCATTCCATGCTATTCCCAATTGTAGAAACCACCCCCTCATCTTTCGCCTCCATTAAGAAGCCTCAGCAGATTCGAAACGAAGGGGCCTGAGAGGTATCGTGGCATAAGGGAAAGGACCAGGAAACAGAACTGGAGCAACTCAGTTCCCTGGGAACCAACCCCCCCCCCCACACCTCTCTCTCCGGATTTAGGATAAGACAAGAGGGGGCTCCGTCTCTTCCATCCCCCCCGCTCGATCTCCCTGAGGCGGCGGCGGCGAGGCCGGTCCTCCCCCCCCGGATCCGAGGAGGCGGAGGCGAGTCCGGTTC